GACACACATACACACTCACTGACAAACACATATACACTGTCACTGACAAACACATATACACGCTCAGTGACAAATACATATACACTCTTTAACAGACACACACACACACTAACACACTCACAATTTTGTTTACATTTTAATCCACCCAGCCTCCCTACCTTTGGGAATGCTGGAGTGTATTCTTCCCTGGGGTCCAGTGAGGCTGACTGCAGCTCGGCAGACACAGGCGGGTGGGCAGACAGGCAAATGCTGGATGCAGGCGGCGAGGGAGCTCTGATCCTACTGCTCAGCACCCTTCCATGCCTTTCAGTGAAGCCATGGCTGGAGTGACGTCAATTCGGGCTCCAACATCATTGAGGGCACACAAGGACGCTGAGCAGGGAGAGCACTCCCTCGTCGCCCGAGTGTTACATTAGTAGATGCCAGGCAAGATAGCCAGCCAGGCAGCTCCTGGACCCCCCAGGACGAGAGGCTGGCAAGGCATCTGTCAGGGCAATTGGAGGTGGCCTTTTTGCCACGCCCCTGAAAGTGCCACCTAAGGCAAATGCCTTGTCAGCCTCACGCTAAATACAGTGCTGCATGTACCACCTACCTATAGATTGTTGCAGAACACGTACAACACTTCATGGCAATGGTGTTCCTTGATGGCAGTGGCCTCTTTCAACAGAATAATACATCCTGCCACACTGCCAAAAATTATTCAGGAATGGTTTGAGGAACATGAGAAAGAGTTCAAGGTGTTGTATTGTCCTCCAAAATACCCAAATCTCATTCTGATTGAGCATTGGTGGGATGTGCTTGAACAACAAATCTGATCCATGGAGGCCCCACCTCACAACTTGCAGGACTTAAAGGATCTGCTGCTAATGCCTTGGTGCTAGATACAAAAGGACATGTTCAGAGGTCTTGTGGCGTCCATGCCTCAATGCATCAGAGCTGTTTTGGTAGCCGGTGTAGGACCAATACAATATTATGCAGATGGTTTTAATGTTATGACGGATCACTGTATATACAGTATATATATATATATATATACTGAACAAAATTATAAAACTTTTGTTTTTGCCCCTATTTTTTATGAGCTGAACTCATAAAAGATCTAAGACTTTTTCTACGTACACAAAAGGCCTATTTCTCTCAAATATTATTCACAAATCTGTCTAAATTTGTGTTAGTGAGCACTTCTCCTTTGCCGAGATAATCCATCCACCTCACAAGTGTGGCATATCAAGATGCTGATTAGACAGTATGATTATTGCAGAGGTTACGCTGGCCACAATAAAAGGCCACTCTAAAATGTGCAGTTTTATCACACAGCACAATGCCACAGATGTCGCATGTTTTGAGGGAGCGTGCAATTGGTATGCTGACTGCAGGAATGTACACCAGAGCTGTTGCCTGTGAATTTAATGTTAATTTCTCTACCATAAACTATTTCCAAAGGCATTTCAGAGAATTTGGCAGTGCATTTAACTGGTCTCACAACCGCAGACCACGTGTAACTACACCAGCCCAGGACCTCCACATTCAGCATCTCCACCTCTGAGATCGTATGAGACCAGCCACCCAGACAGCTGCTGCCACAATCGGTTTGCATAACCAAAGAATTTCTGTACAAACTGTCAGAAACCGTATCAAGGAAGGTCATCTGCATGCTTGTCGTCCTCATCGGGGTCTCGACTTGACTGCAATTAGTTGTCGTAACCGACAACTAATTATATAATTGCTATTACCCCACTAATTAGAAATTATATCCCTGTATGTTATGTTTTTGCAAGTATTTATCCAATTGCAGTTTAAACATCTGTATAGACAAAAACACCTCTTCAGGCAAAGAATTCCATATCCTTATTGCTCTTACTTTAAAAAAACCTTTTCTTTGCCTTAAATTAAATCTCTTTTCTTCAAGCCTAAATGTGTGAACTCGTGTCCTATGTATAGCCCTGTTTATGAATAGATTTCCAGATAATGGTTTGTACTGGCCCCGAATATATTTGTATAATGTTATATCCCCTCTCAGGTGCCGTTTTTCCAAACTAAAGAGATTTAAATTTTTTAACCTTTCTTCATAACTAAAATGCTCCATTCCTTTTATCAATTTTGTAGCTTGTCTCTGCACTTTTTCTAGTGCCATGATATCTTTCTTTAGAACAGGTGCCCAAAATTGCACAGCATATTCAAGGTGTGTTCTTACCAACGATTTATAAAGTAGCAAAATTATATTTTCATCTCGAGAATTTATGCCCCTGTTTATACATGACAAAACCTTACTGGCCTTAGCAACGGCAGATAGACATTGCATATTGCTGCCTAATTTGTTGTCTATAACAATGCCCAAATCCTTCTCATGTGTGGTTATCCCTAGTTCACTACCATTTAGGGTGTAAATTGCTTGTGCATTTTTAACCCCGAAGTGCATAACTTTGCATTTCTCTACGCTAAATTTCACCTGCCATTTTAGTGCCCAGTCCCCCAATCTATCCAAATCCCTCTGCAGCAAGGCAATATCCTGTTCACATTTTATTACTTTACAAAGTTTTGTGTCATCTGCAAACACTGATACATGGCTTTCAATGCCCATTTCAAGATCATTTATAAATATGTTAAATAGAAGAGGTCCCAAAACAGAACCCTGAGGGACCCCACTTACCACTTTTGTCCAGCTTGAAAATTTACCATTAATGACAACTCGTTGTACTCTATCCTTAAGCCAATGTTCTACCCAAGAACAAGAATATTCATCTAGACCAATTTCTTTTAGTTTGAAGACTAATCTATTGTGAGGAACCGTATCAAATGCCTTGGCAAAATACAAGTAGATCACATCCACTGCAGCACCCCGATCTATATTTCTACTTCCTTCTTCGTAGAATGCAATTAGGTTAGTTTGACATGACCTATGTTTCATAAAACCATGCTGATTATTGCTAATAACACAGTTCTTCCCAATGAATTCCTGAATATTATCCCTTAATAACCGTTCAAATGATTTCCCAGTCACAGACGTTAAGCTCACAGGTCTATAATTTCCAGTTAAGGATTTTGAACCCTCTTTAAATATAGGAACAACATCTGCCTTCCTCCAATCCAACCGGTACAATACCTGAAACAAAAGAATCTTGAAAAATTAAATACAGAGGTTCACTTATTTCCCTACTTAGCTGCTTAAGTACTCGTGGGTGGATACCGTCAGGCCCCGGAGCTTTATTTACATTAATTTTCTTTAATAGCTGTAGCACCTTGTCTCAAGTTATCCAATCACAAGTTATCTGCAAGTTTGTTGCAGCAATCATTTGCTTATCTCTTGCCATAGGATCCTTATTAATATATATTGAAGAAAAATAGTTATTTAAAATTTCTTCCTTTTCCTGGTCTTCATTAACTAACAGAACCATCTCTGTTTACAGTGTACCTACACTTTCATTTTTTGTTTTTTTAGAATTGATGTACTTGAAAACATTTTTGGGGTTGGTTTTGCATTTTTTGGCTATCAATTTCTCATTTTCTAGATTAGCCACTTTAATTGACTTTTTGCAAGTATTATTGGCTTCCCTATATCTTATATAGGATGCCTCTGATTTGTCCGATTTAAATTCTTTAAAAGCCCCTTTCTTATGTTTAATCTCTTGTTTTACTTCTCTACTAAGCCACATTGGTTTTAATTTGTTTCTTTTATATTTATTACCCAATGGTACCTACTGTGAAATGTACCTTTCTAATATTTGTTTGAATAGTTTCCATTTTTCCTCAGTGTTTTTATCACTAAGGAGTTTATGCCAGTCGATGTATTGTAGAGCTGCCCTAATCTTATTAAAATTGGATTTTTTTAAATTATACGTTTTAATATACCCCACATGCTTTTGCTTTTTTGAGTTTATTTCAAAAGTTACCATATTTTGATCACTATTTCCCAAATGCTCCCCTACTTGAATGTTGGTTAAAAGACCAACATTGTTTGTTATAACGAGATCCAGACAAGCATCCTTTCTAGTTGGTGCTTGTACCAGTTGTGACATAAAGGTGTAATTTAACACATTCAAAAACCGAATTCCCCTTGCTGAAGTACTAGTCCCTCTATCCCAATTTATGTCCGGGTAATTAAAATCTCCAATAATTAACGTGTTATTTGCAGCTTTCCCAATTTGCTCTAACAGCAGTTCTTCCTCATTAATATTTACATTTGGTGGTTAATAACATATCCCAACCAATAATTTATTTCCCTTTGTTTGCCCCAAGCAGACATCAACCCATAAAGCTTCCACATTTTCCTCGTCACACTTCACATGCCTAAGATTTGACTTTAACTCATGGCTGACATACAAACATACCCCACCACCCTTCTTGTTTTTCCTATCCTTCCTAAATAACATGTACCCATTTAAGTTAGCTGCCCAGTCATGTGTCTCATCCCACCATGTTTCAGTTATGCCTATTATATCATATTGTTTAGTTTATGCTAATGCCTCTAGTTCCCCCATTTTGTTATTTAGGCTCCTTGCATTAGTAAGCATACATTTAATATTATCAATATTACATACCTCCTCTGTTCTGAGCTTTCCTCAGTGATCTTACACCGCATTAATTCTAGCTGATGTGGATACCCCGGTGCAATCTCCTTCAGTATAATATATTTCTTCACATAGAGAGGAATTAAAAAAAACAAAAAAACAGTATGCACAACCTGGCAATGTTTCAGGTCCACCAGCAGTGATTTTGAGATTATAAGTATAACTTGATAATACTCATCTGAACTGAAATCATTGCTGCTGTACTCCCAGAGCTAAATACCTGTTCGTAGCTCCGTCCTTAGGGTGTCACTACTCTTGCTAAATAATACACATGACATGTGCACAGTCGTTATTCGGCATGTGCTAAAACCTTAATAAAATAACTCTGTGACACCATTTCTGTTGGAGTATAAAGTCCACAGCTTTATTAAAAATTTTAATTCAACAATTTAACAATTTAGGGTCATTGTCACAAGTATTAATTATGTCCGACCTTCTTGCCCAATACCCCCGACAATGACCCTACCAAATAACATAATAAAACATTCCAATAATACATAACGTTTAACCCATGGCCTACCAAAGAGGCCCCATAACCATATGTTTAACTGTAGGGGTGTACCCAGACACCCCTACACCCCCAGATTCGTAGCCACCAACGAGCTAGAACCTAGAAACCATTTTCCACTCCGGCATAGTCCAGCCTAGACCTTGGCCTGCCCACTTCCTATTCCACCTAAATCCTCTTTAACCCAGGCCCTATTCCCGCCGCTGTGACCAAACGGGAAACTACCTACCAAACAAGACAACCTAACACAAAGGGAGGGTGGGAGGGACAAGTATCAAGTAAGTGTGATTTTGATTAAAAAGGCCAGTTCACCAAAATGGCTGTTATTTAAGCCCTTATTCTCCTCCCCCCCCCCTTGTCCAGACATTACTTTTCCACACCCCTTGACCTTAACTTCACCTGCCAACTCTCTGGCCCTGTCAAGGCCCACTCCCCTCCTGTGTTGCTCCATGGGCTTCAAAATCAAAAGGAACAGATGCACAAATTCTGTACGCTGAAGTGAATTTATTGTGCTTATCTCATAAAAACAATAAAATTTTGGCATGGGCGTCGACAGGAATTTTTCCAGGGGTGGGGGAGCATAATTGTAATGACATCGATGCTTGGTCCCTTTTTGAATGTGTCATGAAGGGGAGGGGCTTAGTTATTATCACATAAAGCTAGAGTGAATAGCGTTTTCACAACTATGGTGTCAGGAATATATGTTTGTATTCCTGACACTATAGTGTTTCTTTAAGCAAATAAAAGGAACATTCTGGTAGCCATAACAACTTCATCTAAATGAAAATGCTATAATGCCAGGAGGCCCCTGGGCGCTCTTGTTCCTTTAAGGGGTTAAACTACTCCCAAATGGTTTAACTCCAAAGGCTTCCTCCACATCCATATCTTCAGGTCACTCAGTGGTATTCGGCTTCTGAAACGGAGTGTCAGGAAGTGCAGATTGACGTTAGGCATGAGTGCCGCAGATTGGCTAGTGTGGTCAGCTGATGCTCTAAGCCAATCGCTAGTTCACGGTTTATAAAAATATTTTGCTTTTTTATGAATGAGTGCCAGCTGACCAATCTAACCAATCAGTGGCAGTGGCACACCTACCCAGCGGCACTCTGTGCTTCATGACACTCAGTAAATAAAAGTGAACACATTAACACTGATATTTTTTTTTACAGGGACACGTTAGTGTGACTTCCTATACGATACAGAATAGCTCTGCTGGAGTCCAAGCTTCAAAGAGGGATTGGAGTTGGAAGCTTGGACATTCCATGCAATCCAATTTACCCATTTTGAAATTGGAAATGTACTTTTGAGGAGTTTATGTGGTTTAATATGTATGCAGGGCCGGTGCAAGGATTTTTGCCGCCCTAGGCAAAAGTAAAGTTTGCCGCCCCATGTGACATCTTAACGCCCCACCCATATGATGTGCCATGTTAACTAACGCCAGTGCTGCAGTGCCGCCGTGTTTACATTAAAAGGCCTGCAGGGACAGGCTATAGACACCAGAACCACTACATTAAGCTGCAGTGGTTTTGGGGACTATAGTGTTTCTTTAATGTAATGTAAATTAGAGATTAGTGCTACGAATAATATACTAGATTGCCTACTTACAAGCAGATGAGGATGATGATGGGCTCTAGCTGCAGTCTGGCTCCACTGGTCTAGTATAGAACAGGCTCTCTGGAGGCTGTTTATAACTGTGGTCACACAAATCAATGTTCTGGGAGAACGGGAAGCAGCTCCATTTTTTGGGGGCCCTTTACACAGCTCAAGGTCTGGGTCCCAGGGTCCACCTTCATGTTCCACCAATGAGTTTGTTCACAGGGGGTGCAGTGTGTAGGGGATGTCCTGATGTGTGTAAGGAAGTATTGTGTGAATCTGTGTTTATATGTGTAAGGGCTGCAAGCTGTGTTTGTGTATGTACGGGATGCAGTGTGTGCGTCTGTAAGGGATGCATTGAGTGTGTGTAAGGGGTGCATTGAGTGTGTGTAATGAATGCATTGTGTGTTTCTGTGTGTGCAAGGGATGCATTGCTTGTGTATGTGTGTCTGTGTGTGTAATGCATTGTGTTTTTCTGTGTGCAAGGTGTGCATTGTGTGGGATTGTGTGATGGATGTCAATCTCCCCCCCCGTCAATTTCCTTCTCCCCTCCCCCCGTCAATTTCCTTCTCCCCCCCGTCAATTTCCTTCTTCCCACCCCACTCCAATTTCCTTCTCCCCCCCTCTCCAATTTCCTTCTTCCCCTCTCCAATTTCCTTCTTTCCCCCTCTCCAAATTCCTTCTTCTCCCCCCTCTCCAATTTCCTTCTTCTCCCCCCTCTCTCCAATTTCCTTCTTCTCCCCACACAACAAGTACAGCACACACATGCTCACATAAGCAACTCCCACCGCTCACACAACACCTGGCAACTACTACATAAAACCAGACACTCTCACCCTACATCCCCCCACCCTTCCTTTTTTTCTCTTCGTTTCCTCTCTTTTTTTCTCTTTTCTTTTCTCCCTCTTCCTTCTCACCCCCCACTTTCTAACCCTCCACTTCCCCCCCCACACACACACCTCCACCCATGCCACCCGTGATGGTGGCCACTCCATTGCTGACCCACAGGGCAGATACCTTACAATAACAGGCAAAATCGGCCCACAGCAATTTGCATTCACATTGGTATACGCGCCCAACACACCCACCAGCTCATTCTGGAACACCCTCAGAGCGCACATGGCACTATTCCCCTCCCACCACTCGATCGTCGGAGTTGACTTTAATGCCATTCCCTCTCCCGCAGTGGACAGGCATCGAGCCCAAACCCACGCACACCGCCAACAACCAACAGCAAAAGCAGACAAACTTTTCTCCGCATTCCTTGCCCGAACCCACCTAATAGATGCCTGGTGATCTCAGCACCCCACAACACTAGACTACACCTTCTTCTCACACCCACACCAATCACACTCTCGCATAGACTTCTTCCTAATATCCCCGGCGATGGCACCCATGCTCAAAACCACGACCATTGGCCAGATCACCTGGTCCGACCACGCAGAAACAACACTAACAATCAATATCCCAGGTACAGCCCGACCATTGTCATGGAGACTCAACCCCACCCTCCTCCACAATCCACAAATCTGTAAGATGATCGCCCAGACAATGATGGAATATTTCACTTTAAACAAAGACTCAGTGGCCTCCAAATGTACCCTATGGGCGGCCCACAAGGCGGTCCTAAGAGGGGCAATAATAAACCAAGCAACCATACACAAGAAACAACAGACCGCCCACCTGGAACAAACACTGACAACACTTAGAACCCTGGAGAACAAACTCAAACTCAACCCCACGACAGAAGTGATAGACAAAATCAAAAAATGTCAGGCAGACATCAAAGAACACATGGCAAAGGACTCCACAAAAGCCCTATTGTGGTCCAAACAACTCTTTTACGACAAGGCCAACAAGGCCGACTTGCTTCTAGCACGGAAACCCAGGCAACGAACGGCCCAGAAACAGATAAACAAAATTGCCACACCAAAAGGGACAATTACGTAAGACAAGATAGCAGAAGTGTTCCAAAACTACTTCACGACACTCTATGACCATGACCCCAACACGCGTAGGCATCCTAACGCCACCAAAACACTCATCGACCACTATCTGACGCAGATCCCACTGCCCTCCCTATCGAATGAAGCAGCACAGAAACTAATAGACCCAATCACACCAGAGGAACTCTCGGGCACCATGAAATCACTCAAACCGAACAAAAGCCCAGGCCCAGACGGGTTCACTGGTCTATAATAAAAAATGTTAACCCCCACACTAATTCCCCACTTATGCAACTTATACAATGCCATCTTACAAGGTGATCACCTATCGCAAGAAATACTACAGGCCACCGTCTGCCTCCTCCCCAAACCCAACAAAACACACTTAGATCCGGGACATTTCCGTCCCATCTCCCTACTCAATGTAGACATAAAACTATTCACCAAACTCTTAGCAGACTGGATATGTCCTTACCTACCCCAACTGATACATCCAGACCAGGGGGGATAAATTCCCACGAGGCAAGTCAGTGACAATACGAGGAGAACTTACGCCCTTACATGGATCGCTAACACGAGAGGCATCCCAACCCTCCTCCTGTCGCTGGACGCCGAAAAGGCCTTTGACAGACTGCTCTGGCCATGCAAACACTATACGCCACACCACGGGCAAGCCTCCTACTGCCACTTACTCAGTCACCCATGTTCACAATACACAACGGAACACGACAGGGATGGCCCCTATCACCAATATTGTTCGCTCTGTCCCTGGAACCGCTCCTGCAGAACCTCAGACGCAACAGCTCCATAAAAGGCCTCAAAATACGGGACAAAGAGTACAAAACCGCAGCCCACGCGGACGACTTACTCATTACACTAACAGACCCAACGACCTCCCTACCACCTCTCCTACAAGCCCTTGAGGACTACGCTCAAATCTCTGGATATAAAGTCAATATAGGAAAAACTGAGGCACTACCCATAAATATAGATCCCCACACCCTTGAGAACCTACAAAGGATGTACCCTTTTTACCTACACTCCACCCACATACAATACCTGGGCATCACCCTACCAGCAGACCTATCCCAATGCTACGCCATGAACTACACCCCTCTAATACAGAAAATCACTACAGATATAACCACATGGCAGAATATGCCGATATCCTGGCTAGGCAGACTAGCCTCGGTCAAGATGAACATTTTGCCCCGGCTCTTATTCTTGTTCCAAGCCCTCCCTATCCCGATCTCCAGCCAAGATTTCAAACACCCAGGGGGACTGGGCCTACCACACCTCACCCACTATTACCAGGGAGCACAAATAACACAAGCCCAAACCTGCATGCTTCGAAAATAATAACCTCACACGCCTCCACCACTTCTTCAAGGACCAACAGCAAATACCATTTACTGAGCTACGGCAAACGACACCCTTCTGAACATTTGACCTCTTTATACACATCCAGATGAAAAGCTTTCTGGAAACACCAGAAATTTAGAAAGCAGGTAACACGACACTAACAACCTTCGAGAAACAATGCATACAAGCTCCAATACAGAGAGGTCAGATCTCTGCAATATAGCAGGCGCCCTCTCATATGTGTCGGCTTGGGAGAGGGACCTAGGCCCAGCAGAGGATCCAGCAGATTGGGTAGACATATGGGAAGCCACAGCGACAATCTCCATATGCGTAAATCACAAGGAA